GAGAAGGAGAAGGAGCTCCTCAGGTACACAAGACCAAACAACCGTTCACCCTGCTGGGCTGTATGACAGAGAGGTCTGCTCTGGAAGCTTTCTGCTGTTTCTGCCACGGCTGCTCTGTGTAATTCTTAATGGATAGGACAGCGTCTTATCACTTATTCAGAAGTAGGTCTATTTTGAGAGTTAAGCTGCAATGATTCATGTTTTCAGACAGAATCTCCATTTCACCAACCAGCCAGGAGGTTCTATAACACCCTGTAATAAAGTTTTACATTTCTCAAGATACACCACGGCTGAAGACGTTTCCCCTTCTTTCTCATTTCAGAATATTCCTGGATGTTTCCCAGAATGACAACACCGCACTGCGTCGTATGAACCTGCGCTCCTTCCTCATGGCGCCGCTCCAGCGCGTCACTAAGTACCCGCTCTTGTTGAGTCGCATCATTAAGGTCACTCCCGAATGTCACCCGGACTACACACGCCTCCGGGAGGCCAAGAGTCGAGTGGAGTCCCATCTGGAGCACATCAACATGAAGACTAAGCAGGAGGGTAACGGTGTCACCTGGTCTCTACGCTCGTTCCGCCGCGATAGCCGCAAGAATCGGGAGGTCATTAACATTGAGATGCGAGAGGTGTCGATGAAGACGGTTGGCTGGGCAAGAGAAAACACCCGGTTCGTCATGGAGGGACCTCTCCAGCTGTCCCAGCCAGCAGATGGTCAATGGCTAAAAAAGGGCAGCAAGGCCCTCAAGTTCCAAAACGTGCAGAGTTTGCTGATGGTGAGGACACAGCGGGGTGGAGACTCCCCTGGGCGGGCAACTGATGTCGGACGACAGGTGGAAGGCATGGCAGAGAGCGTTCGAGACGGAGTGCTGGTTTTAATCAAGGACAAGAGCAGCGGCAAGTTCGCAGTGCTGAGAGAGCCAATCCGTCTCGGAAACTGCGTTGTGTCGTCAGATCCGGACTGCGAGGACACCTTCGAGGTGCTCGACATCAGGCGGGAGTCATTTGTTTTCCGTGCCACGGACAAATCCCACACCCAGCAATGGTTCCACCAGATCAAGAGATACGCACGTGACTTGGGTACCTGGAGGAAAAGGCGAAACGCGTTGCCCAACATCATGATCAACGCCAACCAGACGCGTTCCTGAGGCTAGCCTCCGCAGCATCCGTGTTCCTCTGTAAATAACCCAAAATCTTTGAGGCTCATAAAAAAACAAAAAAACAAAAAATCAGCTGACGGCATTTTCTGAGTAACACCACTGTTCTGTTAGATTTCCGTAAACAATCACACAATCTGTCTCACACTGTTGTGAGTAAACTAAGCACTTTTTTTCCTATGAAGCAGTAAGTGCGCCATGAAACTGAGTGAGGATTTAACTTTAAAGCTGTTACAGAAAGAAAAAAGTAGAAAAAAATTCCCAGGTTTTTGAACAACCAAAAAAAAGATATCCTTGGGCTGCTCTTGCCAGCCTTGATTGTAAAGACTGTTGAGTAGCTAAAGGTGTGCTTGATGAAAGCATGACTGAACATGACCGGCTGCTAAAAGAAAACAGCAATGTCATTTTTATATGAGACAGTGAGAACTGCAAACATTTGAGAAGGTAAAGATTCCTCTGATTTTTTGGTTTTCTGTGTAATTTTATGTTATGCTGACCCTGCTCTTTTCTCTTTGTTTGCTGCCCTCTACTGTCGGTAGGCAACATAACAACTTTCACTGCCAGAAATGCAGTTGAGCAGAGCCTCAGACTGAAAGCAGACCTTTGGTGTATCTGTGTTTCAATGGGATTTCATGAAACAGCAATAATCTCAGCCAGTTTAAAGAAGTAGCTACTTTTTATGCAGTTAATTCCCCAATATTCCTCTTTTGGTTATTCTTTATTATGTTGTGGCAGTTAAGGCAGGTTTACCTGGCCTCTGATATATCAGGTGGTTGGAAGATTGAGGCATCTCTTCAACAACATCAAGGAAGTCTATTTCTGTCTTTAAATCTGAGATCATTATGGTGTTATAAAACAGTAAAGCTCTGTCCAATAGAAAGAGCAAAAAGTCCTAGTTAGAGATGCACCCAGAAATGAGGTAAAAACCAGAGTCAGACGGTTTAAATAAATCGGTTTAAATTTCAGAAATCCAATAATTTGCTGTCAGTAAACACGCAACACCTCAGTACTTCTAAAAAACTTTTGTGTGAAGTATAGTTGAAGGTAGGAGAAACTTTTTAAGGATTAGATTTTGATGTTTGTGATTCATTTGGGCCAGGAGAGAGCAAGAATTCCAGGAGATAACAGGAAGCCTGGACTAACATATTACAAATTGCCTTTATTTGGCCCTATAGAGCTCTTATTTTCTGTCTGTAATTAAATATGCTGGATTTGAAAATATTGGCAGCCTTTAAGAAACTTCACAGCTAAGGATATACACTCACCGGCCACTTTATTAGGTACCCCATGCTAGTAACGGGTTGGACCCCCTTTTGCCTTCAGAACTGCCTCAATTCTTCGTGGCATAGATTCAACAAGGTGCTGGAAGCATTCCTCAGGGAGTTTAGTCCATATTGACATGATGGCATCACACAGTTGCCGCAGATTTGTCGGCTGCACATCCATGATGCCAATCTCCCGTTCCACCACATCCCAAAGATGCTCTATTGGATTGAGATCTGGTGACTGTGGAGGCCATTTGAGTACAGTGAACTCATTGTCATGTTCAAGAAACCAGTCTGAGATGATTCCAGCTTTATGACATGGCGCATTATCCTGCTGAAAGTAGCCATCAGAAGTTGGGTACATTGTGGTCATAAAGGGATGGACATGGTCAGCAACAATACTCAGGTGGGCTGTGGTGTTGCAACGATGCTCAGTTGGTACCAAGGGGCCCAAAGAGTGCCAAGAAAATATTCCCCACACCATGACACCACCACCACCAGCCTGAACCGTTGATACAAGGCAGGATGGATCCAGACGCCAAATTCTGACCCTACCATCCGAATGTCGCAGCAGAAATCGAGACTCATCAGACCAGGCAACGTTTTTTCCAATCTTCTATTGTCCAATTTCTGCAAATTGTAGCCTCAGTTTCCTGTTCTTAGCTGAAAGGAGTGGCACCCGGTGTGGTCTTCTGCTGCTGTAGCCCATCTGCCTCAAAGTTCGACGTACTGTGCGTTCAGAGAGGCTCTTCTGCCCACCTTGGTTGTAACTGGTGGTTATTTGAGTCACTGTTGCCCTTCTATCAGCTCGAACCAGTCTGGCCATTCTCCTTTGACCTCTGGCATCAACAAGGCATTTCCGCCCACAGAACTGCAGCTGTTTTTTCTTTTTCGGACCATTCTCTGTAAACCCTAGAGATGGTTGTGCGTGAAAATCCCAGTAGATCAGCAGTTTCTGAAATACTCAGACCAGCCCTTCTGGCACCAACAATCATGCTACGTTCAAAGTCACTCAAATCACCTTTCTTCCCCATACTGATGCTCGGTTTGAACTGCAGGAGATTGTCTTGACCATGTCTACATGCCTAAATGCACTGAGCTGCCGCCATGTGATTGGCTGCTTAGAAATTAAGTGTTAACGAGCAGTTGGACAGGTGTACCTAATAAAGTGGCCGGTGAGTGTACAGTCTCTGAGAAGGACTAATACCTTCTAGCCTTACTAATCGCTAATACAAGACTCTATAAAGACTGTTTAAAATGCCATGTTAAAAGTCTACAAATCCCCACCCCTGCTCAAAATATAAATAACTGCTAAAGAGAAACAGAACTTGTGCAAAATTTTAAAAGGTCACCTCGACAGATCAGATATCGGCCATAGAAAATACTGAAAGGTGCGTCTCTAATACTAGTTGACCTCTTTGTGTCATGAGCAGAGTTTTTCATTCACGTCATCGATGCATTCTGTGGAGCTGCACAACTTAAGCATCATAGATGTACTTCGTTTTATTAGCTAATCAATTCTAGCAGTATTTCTTGCCGCCAATTGTATTTTTCTAAAAACAATTGTTTTAATAAGTATAGGGAAAATAATTTGAGCTCCTAAACCCTTAAAACCAAAGTCCTTACATTTAGCAAAGTGATGATTTTACATTATAAAAGCTCAAATTTTACGTTTTTGTGAATAAGTGGCCCAGTGTGATACATTTTCTTGTCACCTCATTTCATTGTCTCCGTCATAAAAGGTTGAAAAACTCTGCTCCCCCAACGACCTCCTCCTGGACCGAGCTTCCCGACCACGTTACCATGACAGGTTACTAAACGTGTTCTGTGACCAGCAAGGAGCTGTTGTGCCTTTATACTTTATCACTGTTAGACTAAGACTGACAAATTTTAAGATCTGTCACAGTAGCATCAATTTTCTCCATCAGACAAGCCTGCCCTCTGTCTGCACTCACATCTACTTACAGGCAATATAATTATTCCTTTTACAGTGAACTGCCTTCTTTTTTTAGTGTGTTTTTACCTATGAAGGCTTTATTTTGTTGGAAGCACTTTATTATAATTAAGAGAAAGATTTACTCTTAAGTACATCTGTTGGTAAAAAAAAAAACATGTTCCTTCATTTAAGAAAAACAGTGTGTTTACTAGGCTTACAGTCACTCAGACCAACGATTTACAACTTTTGCTGTTATGTTAATTGTAAAGTAGCATCAAAAAGTAAAGTATCACTGTGTTTAGGGCAGAGCTGCTCGACTCCATGTGAAGGTTAATTTGCCGCTGGGATTTAAAGAAACAGGAATTTCAAAAAGAAAACACCTTGTGCGTTGCATTTGGTTTATTTACTTCCCCTGTTTGTTTTGAAACATCTGATGTATGATTTCTTTAGTGTAATATATTGTGAATTATATTAAAAAGATTTTAAACATGTTTTTTTGGCTCGTTTTTGTTGGATCTCTTTCAAAGATGTCTTTGTAGGATGAGGAAGGCTGGAAAATAAACACAGTGCAAATAACTTTTTTTCAAGAAAGCAATATTTTATTTAAAAAAAGAAGAAAGCCGTGTAGGACTTTTTTTATTTCCACCACTTTTTACAAATCAAAACTACAAATATGTCTCAACAATATTTTCGTAGCACAAAATCCAACAGTTTCCTAAATAAAGGTGATTTAACTAGTTTTAAATGTTGAAATTAACTGTAAATTATTTTGCTTCTCACTTTTTCAATATCATCCGTAAAGTAGGTATGTTATCAATCAGAATAAAAAAAATAAAAAAAAAACCAATAATGTGACAAAAACAGTTATCTATTTTATAAACACTGAAATTTAAACTTGTGTAAAAACTTGCTTCATAAATGTGGCTTTAGGAACCCAGTTTGGATGAGCGTCTGGTTGAAAAGCTTTATGATGACTAGCAACCAAACCCTGCAGCAAACAGCTTTGACAAATTTAACAAGTCAACAAAAGAAATAAAATTTAATCCAGAAACTGGTTGAAGCCAACAGTGTTCACTTTAATTTACAACATGACTCTGAACTGTGAATCCAAATGGCGCTGTAACAAGGCGAGAACACATTTCCAAAACTTGCAACAAACAGAACCTGTAGTCGTGATTTTCTGAAATGGAATGCTGAGATCCTTTACCGCCTCTGCTGCCTCTCTGACAGACTGACATCCATCTTAACCACCGCTCCTGCATGCATTTGCACAAATACATGCTGAAACATTAGCACGCATACACAGACACACCATCATACAGTCTGTCTTTGGCTGCTGGGGACCCCAGGCAGATTCCTGGGTCTGTAACTTCCAGATGGGGAAAGGTTCTCCAACCTGCAACAATCCTGCAGAGGTCCCAGCTGGAGGAAGCTGCCACACTCCTCCTCCTGCTCCGACAGCAAACCAACAAACCTCCATGTTCTACTAGTTTCCGCCTGATTCCGACTCCTTGGCCAGACCGCGTATGGACAGGTCATAGACCACCTCTTCGATCTTCTTCACGTCGTACTTCAGACCGTCATACCGCTTCCGCAGCGGGTCGTTCTTCAGGTTGAGCAGACGGAAGCCGGAGTCCAGCTCATTGATGAAGTTGGAGATGCGGAGCGGCCGGCTGTAGTCTCCTGCAGTGACACTGTTCACTGCTAACCGCGACTAAAGGAGCAAATGGCACAGAGTCAAAAGGTTAGAAAGTTTTTTTTAGAAAGTTTTTTAAAAAAACTTCTTTGAAAAATTATCTATATGGGAAAAAATGGTGTAGCAACACAGGCCGGGTTCGAATCCGGCTTATGGTCCTTATATGCATGTCTCCCCCCCTCTCTCACACCCCCTTTCCTGTCAGCCTACTGTCAAAAAAAAAACCCCAGACAAATAGTGCCGTAAAACAAAATAAAAGATGCAAGTGGCTTTGGATGGCCCTTGCAGATCAGCATTTCTCTGCCTCTAACATCCGTCGTCCACACACCTATGCCAATGTGGTACAAATCTGACCTTCCTGTCCGCAGTTCTAGCCATTTCTTATCCCATAGAGCGCGCACACGAGAGCAAGGGCTTCCAACAGTGAAATATTGGACATCCTGAACTCAGGGGGCGGGGCTAGTCTATCTTCAACTATTTTGATATCTTCAACCCTGTCTGTGTTGGAGCTCTGCCTGGCTATGCGTTTCCTGGACGAGGTCGCCTGTGGAGCTGGTTTACAGTTGTCTTTTGTATCTCTGCTTCTGTCTCCCTGAACCCCAGTCGGCCTCAGTAGATGGCCGCTCACATTAAGCCTGGTTCTCCTGGAGGTTTCCTCCTTTTAAAAGGGAGTTTTTCTTCTCCACTGTCGCCACAAGCATGCGTAGTGTGAGGGATTGCCCTGGAGTTAATTAGTCGATGCAATCAACTGGTTTTCCTTCGTTAGAAACCTGTGAATCAATTTGACTGTATGATTTGGCGAACTGTAAAGGGCCTTAAGATGACGTGTTTTGAATTGGCGCTATAGAAATAAACTGAAATGAATTGAAAGCTGTTCGAAGATGGCACAAAAAAAAATGTACTCATGTTGCTTATTGAGGTTCTAAAACTATGATGCTGTATGGCTGGAGGAAAGATTTTGATGCTTGGCCATGCCCACATGCTTCAATGTATAAAAATTATTTTGATGACTTTTAACCATCTATGCCTAAATTTCATGCAAAAACCGTTTGAATCTTGTAACTCAAACGCTGTAGGACTCACTACATGAGTCAATAACAGAAAATGGCATATTTGATCCAAAATGGCCGACTTCCAGTGGAGTTTTGACCAGGGCTCCAAGAGACATTTTTGTACATCTTTTTGGGTCATATTTGTGTACCAAGTTTCATCATTCTCTCTAAAACATGGCCTGGGGCTGTTGTGTTTTTATGTTAGGGCAAGAAGTCAGAATTTGGGGTTATGCCACGCCCACATGCTGTATTACAGCAAAAAATCTTAGAATAACTTTTGATCTTTTGAAGTAAGGAGTTTGTAGGTCAAAAATATTAATTACACTTTTTAACTCTTATGCCTCAGGTTTAAGCTCTGCAAGTTAGAAGTTTGTAGGTAAAAATCTCCAGGATCTAATTAGCCAATCTAATGATGGCTAATCTGTTCTTATGAGAGCTTTATAAGTACTAAAAAGAAATAGCTTTTATTCAGATTTGTAGTCTGATGTCTCCAACACCTGCTTTGTAAAATTTGACTACATTTTATAAAGGGAAGTTAATTACACAGGATGATTAAGACTTTGAAATTGTTAATCTGTCTGTTATTCAAAAGGTGGTTTAAAATTATTCGTATCAATAATAATAATAAAAGAATGAAAGACTTTAATATTCCAAGGCTGATGATTTTCCTGTCTTGATATTAAAAACCAGTGCGCAAAAATGAAGATATTTAATAGCAGAAGAAAAAAATGTGTGAAACAGAAGCGTTGTCTTTCCTTTCACCTCCTTAAAAGAGACACTAAGATTTACCTCCATCTAGTGGTGCAATAAATGAATTACAAACAGACCGGCCTGTGAGACCACAGAGTGTCATTCTGCTCTTTCTGAATGGAGGGAAACTTTAACCTCTGTCATCCTGTGACAAGTCAGCAAACAGACCATCGAGTGCTGCAAGGGTGGTCCGCAAGCAAAACGTTTCTTAGGTGTTGTTTAGCATGGTTTTATTACTCTAACTGTCCCTTTCATTACCATCAGTCTATTAAAAAGATATCACATTCTCTGCTACATTTTTTCCCCAATATCTTCCTGCAACATCAGCTCTGTTTTACCATCTGAGTCAAGTAAAGTAGAGAGCATTTGACTCTTTTTGGTAGAATTAGCCACAGTTTGGGTAGAATTAGCTTCAAGCTGTAATTTGTCCTTGGTATGCCTTTCGGGATAAAAACCGAGGAACAACTACAATGGACAACTATGACAAAAGGCTAATTGGTCTTTTTGCTGACTCCATTAATAGAACCTTGTTCCTCTGCTATGTCTAATAACTCTAGATCCATCCCTGTGACCGTGATATCTTGGCAGACGCGCCATTGTTGTTTTGGAAGATAAATACTCCCGCCGGCACTGCCAAAGTTCTCGCGAGTTCTCAAATAGGCTCCCCCTTGTACTTTGGCGGGAAACTGCTGTGCGTCCCTAGAAATTCTAAACTGATGGTGCAGAAGCATACCAGCAAAACTGGTTCGCAACCAGACCCAAGCGACATTTGACGTTTGCGGTTGCAGAAGTATAATCTGCCCTTAAGGTGCTGGTTTGGTCCAGTAAATACTAAACCTATATTCACCTTTTAAACCCGCATATGGTGTGTGTGTGACTTTGTTAACTTCAATGGATGCATTCCCATATTTCTTTAGCAAATTTAAGCTGCCTTGTGCTTAGTTTTCTTTTTTGAAATATAATTATTGTAACAGCAAACCATCGGCCAAACTCACCAGTTCACTAGCCATAATCAGCACTCCTGCTAGAAAATCTTCAATATCCAGATGAAAGCCCTTCTCTCGCACAACCTCGACTGCCAGAGAGAAATGGCAGAGTTAGGGAGACCTTCAAAGAGATAATGATAGTTCTGAAACAAAACATGGTCCTTACTTCCAAGTATCTGAGCCACCTCCTCCCGTGTGACAAGGTTTTCACTTTCCAGGTAGACAGCAAAGGCTGCTAAGAAGGCCAACCGCTGCAGGACAAACCGCCAGTGTTCGTGGAACCTGAAATTAAAGTAACGGGTAAAATATAAAGTGGAAATGAGTTTACAAGTGAAACAAAGGAAGGCATTAAGGCTAATAAAAACTAGGGCTGAAACGATTAATCGGATTTATTGTTCATTGAAAATAGATTTAGTAATCGAATAACATTGTTACCCTGAGTAATGTTACACTGCTTCTTAAACCATTTTCTGAAAGAATAACATACTTAAGCACTAATTAAGACAACACTCTACAGATTCAAAATGAAAACATTTGTAAACATAGAATACATTTTCAACAAAAAATTTAATTGCTTCTTTATTTTTATAATAACATAATTAAATCTCTATGAATATAAATTTTTTAACGTTTTTTGCAATTTCAAATGTGCATCAACGTTTTTTTTTCTTTATTTCAAAGTATCAAGAATGTTTTTGTCGATTAATCTAAAAAGACCTATAGATTAATCGGTTACTAAAAAATCGATTGGTGCAGCCCTAAGAAAAAGCATAAATATAAGACATCTATAAGACTTATGAGGGATAAGAAGCAGATATTTTGAGATACTTCTAGCATGTATGTTTCTTTGTAGTAAAAGTGAACAATGTGATGTAAAATTATTATTTTTTTAATACCAATCAGGATTAATGTTGTCCAAATAGCCGACTACCTGTAATACTGCTCCACAGGGAATTTTGTTTTGAGCTCAGACAGTTGACTCCTCACAGTGCAGAACAGCTCTCTTGCCTTGGCACATTTACTGGGAACTAAAAAGTGAAACAAAAATATCTTAATGAGGTTTGTGACTTTAGAAGAAGCCAACATTGCCCTAGTATGGAGGACCAGCTCTACTACTACTATATTTAAAAATAAAGAAATAAATAAGCATACATTTAATTGGCCCCAAAAATACAATAAACAAATAAATGTAGGTAGAAATTAAATTATACAGTGAGACATAAATGTATATATCTCTTTTAATTAGCTTCTTTATTTATTCGCCTTTGTAACAATTACCGTATTTATTTATTGTCCGTTTTATCTTCAACTTTATTTATTAATTACTTATTTTCTAAGTACGTATTTATGTGCATGTTATATCTTTTGTCTTTTTTTATTCTTCCTTTGTATTTTTTTACCCTATTTATTTCTGCCTGTTGTTTCTACATTTCTGTATGCATTTCTGCCTCATTATTTGACAACAACTAATTTGCCCCTATTTCAGAAAGCATTCTCTAAGTTTGCTAAATGGCCGGTTTCACCAAAGGTTAAAGAGAGACAGAATTTTTGCACAAAAGATCAAAATTTGACTTAACATGCTGTGCCTTTTGAGAATGTCCAGATTAATCAATAAATCATCTCTTTTTTCCTGTCCCTTTTCTTTTAAACTATGGAGATACATCAAAAAAATAAAACTGAGGACATCCAAGAGATAAAAATCACCCACATGTTGTATTATGTTGATGACCTTGATAGTAAAATTTCAAATATGGTTAATATTGTTTTCTTGCTCATCAAAAATCATATACATTGCTGTAAATGGAGAGGTTCTACTCCTTGTTTTGAATTTTTTCTTAACCAATTTAAATTGTATTACACCTCATTTGAAACATTTGAAATCCATTTCTGCCAAAAAAAAAAGTAACTGCCAGTATTTCTCCTTTTCTTTTGTTTTAAATCTTGCTCTATATTTATTCATTGGCCTTATGGCCTCTATTTTTTTTTTCTCTACTGACGTTGTAATGTTTGTACCTCAACAAGTCTTTGTACACTATTGGTTTGTTATATAAATAAAGTAAAAAAAAAAAAAAATTCTGCTTCATTATGCAAATAAGGAGAGGTGTGTCTTTGAGGGGCAATTTCTGCCCATTGGTTGGCGGCTAATCTTCTTAACTTGTAGAGCTCAGGGTAGTTAAAAGTTCTCTTTTCTGTTGCTATTATTCAATGAAACTACGTTTTAACATCATTTGAGGCAAGAACATTAAACTTTTAAGCATCACTATATGGCCCATCTACCGATTTAATGCGTAATAAAAAAAGAAATCTGAAGTTGAGAGGACCACGGCAACCAGCGGACCACCGTGGCTAACAGCAGCCAGGTCTAATCCTAGCCCGTCTGCAGCAGCCCTTTCTCGGCGTAGCCGTGTGTGAAGGACCGCTGGTTATGATGGTGAGTTTTTTTGTTTTATTTGCCAAAATGTGAATTTGATTTGTAGCCACATAAACCAGACTAAAAGTGAGATTAAACGTGTAATTTAGTCTGGCCCTGATGAATGAGACATCGGAAGATTGTTGATCAGAACAACCTGTTGTCTTTCAAACCGCTGTCTGTGCCTATTGGCCAACGCTCTGACACAATGAGCGCAACTGACTGCGACGTAGTAAGCCTGACAGAAAGGTGGTGGGAGAGTGTAAACAAACAGCCTGTCAGTAAAATGGCAAATGCGTCCATCTTAAAGATGAATGAGCGTAGAGCCTCTTCCTGCTCACGTTTCAACGAAAACCCCAAGTCTAATCCTTCCTAAACTGATTCCAAAGCTGAGTCAAACGAGAACCGTTCAATAGTTGCTGCCATCTTCTTCATTGTGCTTTCTCCAACGTCACGTAGCTTTGTCGTAACGCCCTCAAAACCCCGCCCGCTTTGCATCCAGAAATTCAAAAAAAATCTCTGCCAGTTCTAGGGCCTGGGGCATTGAACGAGGCTAGACCACTCGCTGGCAAAAATGATTTTGGCCTAGTTTTGGGCTAGTTTACTAGGCTATTCTATTTGTGTTTATCTGACTGTGTTAATTATTATTCCCCCTAATATTTGAAAAAAGTACAAATTTATTATTATCTAGAGACTATTAATAACAGGAGGTGAAAAGCAGCTTTAGACGAGCCGAGCGTGTGGTGATGCCACAAGAACACTTCTGTCCCAATTCACCCAGATTTATGCTGTGTGCTCCCGTTCGCCCCAAGTCCAGACTTTACTGGGTTCTTCTCAAGAACATATTTAGCGAGGACACAAGTCCATACTCACGTTCCTATAAATTGAGAAACAGCCTGTGACTCAGACTCGATTTCAAAACTCTCCTCTCCTCCTGTACATTCGACGGATGCAGTAAAATGCTTACCAGCCAATGAACAGAGTTGACCCTCTAAAACACACCCCCTCGGCATTTGCATAATGAGGCAGAAATGCATACAGAAATGTAAAAACAACAGGCAGAAATAAATAGCGTTGAATAAAGAGGGTAAAAAAAACAGAAAAGGAAGAATAAACCAGACAAAAATATTATGACATGCATATAAATAAGTATTTAAAAATAAGTAGGTAATAAATAAGGTAATTACTACAAAGGCGAATCAATAAAGAAGCTAATTAATATATATATACACATATATACATATATATATGTATATATATATATACACATTATGTCTTTATCATTTAATTTTTACCTACATTAATTTGTTTATTGTATTTTTGAGAGCAATGGATTGTATTCTTATTTATTTATTGAGTTTCTATTTTTTCTGTATTTATTTTTAAATATGGCAGAGCTGGTCCTCCATACACTAGAACTCCACTTTAAAACTCACTCTCTTTGAACCCAGAAGGCTGGTGGACACTTTGAAGCACAGTTAGGATTTCCCTGGCAGTCTGCTCCAAATTCTGGACCACCTTACGGATATCCTGCCAGGAAAAAAACAGGTTTATAAGGAAATACATAACACTGATAACTATGAAAAGATTAAAACAAAATTATATATATATATGTGTAAGTGTAACACAAATAATAAATATCGCGACTCAATAAGGTGTATTTCAGTTGAAATTTTCAGAAGAAATAATATTTTTTAAAGGAATAAAGGGTTTCATCTCGGGTTAGCTCACTAGCTAACGGTGTGGGGCGCTAATGTTGTTAGCCTCAAGGCGCGAGCTTCGCGGTCATACCTCTCTGACGTCCTGGTCGGCGCTCAAAAAGCCCTGGATGTAGCTGAACATCTCAGTCACAGACATTTCTGACATTTCGGGGATATTTCCAGAACAAAACCGACGCTGAAAAATTAGCTGCTAGCAGGTAAGAAACCCCCCAAAAAATCAACGTGCAGATAAACGGTAAGATCCCCTTCAGCCAGCGCGTGGATATGACGTCTCCACCTACGTCATCCGGCAAAAATACATAAAACAATAAAAAATACAGGCCAAAAATCTGTATATTTGTTTGTTAGGAAAATATTTCAATATAATAATAATAATAATAATAATAATAATAATAATAATAATAATAATAATAATAAAATAAATAAAGCACAAAGGCCACAAAAAAAAAAATTGAACTATATAATTTGGCTCTTTGTGTTTGTACACCCAAAAAATGATTTATTTTTTCTCTTAACCCTAATATTATTGGTAGAAAAATTCCATATTCCCAGCTGTAAAGTTTTTAAGTTGAAAGTTAAAACTCAGATTGAACGTCTTTTTTACCTAATTGTCTTCATATACGTGTTCCTTGATGTACTGTACCAATGTAAAAGCCTTAAAGGCTCTATCACTCTGAACTGAATTTATGTTTTCCTAGTTGTTGTTTCCCATCCTTTTCTGTTTGCATTCTGTTTGCCTTTGCCTGCGATAAGCCCAGGGACAGATTCAGGAAATTTGAGGCCCTTGGCAAAAACAGGCAAGGGGCCCTCTGAATTGAGAAGACAAGACATAAAACAGACCCATTATACAGACGGATATAGAATTTTTTTATAGAAGAGACATACATTATTTGTTCTATGTTTTGTCCCTCTCTTCTTGTCCCTTTTCTTGTTGTTTTCCTCTCTGTTTTCTACTCAGCTGACTTTTCATGCAGTCTCTAAAGGAATGAAAGATTTTTTGCAAGCATTGAGCTCACTTAGCCCATTGTGTCTTCCTGTGTTTCCAAAATAGCGACGGAAAAAGTACATAACACTGTCCTTCTTTTCTGCTCTTCACACTGTTTGTTTTTAAAAGGTTTGCTGCTGTCTGTTTGGACCTTTCTGAACATGTGCAGCAAATGGATTGATCCAATGTGGTGGACACTGAAGGGGTGGGGGCTGAGACAAACTTAATATTATAAGCATTCTGATGGCATTTTAGTGAAAGGATTTTTATCAAAAACATAATTAATGTGCACAAATAAGGAATAGCTGTATTAACCATACATGTAAACAGAGTTTTAAGCCTCAACGTATACTCTCATATGTTCATTGGTAATTCAATGCACATTTTTTGTTTAACCTGTAAGTAAAAAAATAAATAAATAAATTTAAAAAAATCAATAAGTTACACAAACTCGACTGCAGGTTTTTTGGTTGGGTTAGTTCGTAAACTTATAATAAAGCTTAAAAGCTTATTTTAAAAGTAAAAACTGGACAAAATACATTTCTAATCTGTTAACCCTTCTTCATTTAAACTGTGAGAAGTAGTGAATGCCCAACATTGACTCTACTACCTAAATAATGCTATTATCAAGGGGAACAGCAAGAGGAGCTACAATTACATAATATATATTATGATAAATCAGAAGTTTATTAATTCTATATGAATATAAGAGGCAAAAGTAATAAAATAATGGAAGAACTGAAACAACAAAATCTATTAAACTCTTCATCATTTTAACTCGCCATAAATTGTTTAACCATCTGGCCTTTGATGATCAACTTTCACCATATTGTGATTTTATCATCATAGTCCATAAATTGGTCTTAATCCAAGAAAAAAAAAATCAAAAACAATCCACTGGAATGGAAAGTCATATGTTATTGAGAAACTTTAATTAAATAAAAAAAAAGAAAGAAAGAGCTTAGCCTGGGATATTTGTGTAACATGATTTAATTCACATTTTACAGTTTAGAGAAGTGAATAAAACAAAAACAGATCATTTGGATAATAGCGCTTTGGGTTTGGCAACATACCTGCTGAAACACTGCAGAGTTGCAAGTTTTCTAACTTGAATGGGCAGAAGAAGTTGCTGTCACTTTACTCTCACCACTGAATGGATGTCCTGCAGCGGAGAGCTGTCTGTGCAAAGCATTCTGGGATATATCTGAGGCCTTTCTTTTCTTCCCATACACTTCGTAGACACTTTACCTCTTCTCACCCTCTGCCATACAGAAGCTCACTACAGATATACGCCTGAAAGTGTGCATGTTGATAAAAAGATAGTTAACGGATTGAGCATGTCGGATGGTCTTGTGTAAACATATTATCAGAATAATTGATAATTTGGAGGATCCACCCAGAAATAAAAGATCATCCTCTATACCTTTAAGGTTATTATCCGATTTTGTCCAAACTTTTAACTCCCTGCATTCTGTCTTCAAACGCTGCCTCAAAAATACCTCATGTTACAACTCTATAAAGAGACTCTAGTGTTATCGTCTCTCTCTAAGAATAAAGATGACACTTCATCTCTTTTCTTATGATGTTTTCATGTGAGCAGCACCTGTCCTCTAGCAGCCAAATACAACATGATGCTGTCATCCCTGTTCTTCACATTTGAGACAATGCCCTTCACATTGCAATCTTTTTGCCTTTTCACTCAAATAAAACAACTGTATTTAAGGTGAAATATTTTAACTCCAGTTTCACCAGACCACACGACACATTACCAAGGATTAAGGTCAGAGATGGGAAGTAACGAAGTACAAATACTTCGTTAATGTACTCGAGTAGATTTTTCTGATATTTTTACTTTACTTTACTACTTATTTTTATGGCGACTTTTTACTTCTACTCCTTACATTTTTACAAAAATATCTGTACTTTCTACTCCTTACATTTTAAAAATTGTCTCGTTACTTTAGTTTTGAATCATTTCAATGGAGTTACCGTTATTATTTTTCATGTCATCAATACCAAATTTAATCTAATTGGATTGGAATCTACGTTGCATTTGACGCACCACTACAAGATGAATCGACAGATTCGGCGGTATTCATTCGTGGCAAATCATTGCAGCTTGGTAGTGGTGGTGTTAGCATAGTAGCATGGACGACGAGATGATTGAAAATGAACACAGCAGAGATCTAGTCCTATTGGCAGACATCCATTTAAAATGTAGGCAACGGCATGAAAAAAGTGGTTTCTACTTTTACTTTTATACTTTAAGTAAATTTACAAGCCTGTACTTTGTTACTTTTACTTGAGTAAAGAAGTTTAATCAGTACTTCCACTTTTACCAGAGTATTTTTTAACACAAGTATCTGTACTTTTACTCAAGTACGGAAAGTGAGTACTTTTGGCATCACTGATTAAGGTCTTTGTCACGGAGTGCATTAGCAAAATTTTATCAGATTAAATTATGCTGGGGTTTTTGTTTGCATAGCAATGTGTTTGAGTATTTAAATCAAATCAAAGAAACTTATCTTCTTCATGTTGCAGGCATTAAGGAAATGAAAAACTATTTTGGTAACCCTACTTGAACTGAAATAGGAAATACTTACTTTCACTTAATGCCACTAATGAAAAAAACTAAACATTTGTTTTGTTTTTAGTAGTATGAAAACATTAGCTTTCAGCAATAAAACTATAACTTCTTGGTTTTAACCAATTAACCTCAAAATAATAAAGCTGTAATGAAGTTAGATTAAAAAAAAAAGTCACTAGTGCATTCAGAGAGTTATATAGGGATGAATATTGGTCTAATGATAAAACCGTAAGAAAATGTCAATACATGGAAATATATATATTTAATAATATTCCATGCAAAATGAAATTATGCCCAAGCCTAAAGTTAAAGCACAATTTATACTTTAATTGCAATATGTTAAAATTTTCATTCAGTCACACAAAAACACAATAATTTACCTATTCTGCCAGCAGCGACTGATATTGATTTAGCACTTCTTATACAATATCTTTAGAGGTCTGGATTTTTGCAGCAGTGTTTGTAATATTCCTGCTTCAAATAGAGGATTGTCAGACTTCCAGTGTATGAATGAGTAATGCAGCATGGCTCAAAGCATCAAGGATGAAATCACCTGTGAATCGTTGTGTACAGAACATTTTTTTTCTCCACTAGTCATTTCTTTGAATCAGATATAACACTTTGAGACATTTCTTTGTGAGTTTTCTTTACACCAGAGCCATCTCAGAGCTTGTATAAACCCCACAAAATAAAAGCCTCTAGATTATACTGGTGTATTAATTGATGCAAATGGCTCAGCATTATGACCCAAACTCCACCAGCTTGTTTCTATTAGACTCTAGGGACCTTTTCAAAACACATCCCAGAGCAAATTTCACAATATAAGTCTCCCATGTACACTCTAATACAGCATCTATTCACCCAATAACATGGAAAACCAGTGATTTCACATTTGGAAATGGATTCTATATCACTGCTGGGCATGGCCCTTCCCTTGACACACATCCATGGTAGACTTTCAAAATAAGATTACAATATAAAAGCCTCTTTCTTATGCACACTCATTTGTTGTGTCGTATGGCTCATAGCTATGACTCGACTTAACCAATTTCTTCAAATTACACTGCCGAGGCCTGTTGACAACGCACCTCAGTGAGCATTTCTTAATAAGGCTCTAACATTTCCACTGTAATAAAGCATCATCTAACCTCGTAACATGCAGCCTAAGCCTGCCAACAGTGCTTTCATCACTACAACGGCTCATAACATGCGAGCTGAGGCCGCCAACAGTGCTTTCATCACTACAATGCTTTATCGACAACCCATATGGCCCTTGTGCGTCAGATGTTGCGTACATCTATTTCGCACCTTTCAGCCAAAGTGGCAAACAGCTCTCTGTGCAAATGGGATTGCCCTTGTTCTGTCCTTCAGGAGCCCTCAAAGGCGTAAGCAATTGGTCTGGGGTCTAGGGAGCCCCAATATCACGTGTATGGGCACTATTGGCCGGGGTTCCCGAGCGGGCAGTATGTGGCCCCCCGTCAAAATTTATTTTGAAATTTTCTAGAAACCTATGAAGTATTATCATCAGACCCTCCTAGTGCTCACATTGAATGATATTTTTTTTTATATCATGTATGGTTTGGCTGTGCAGCTTTTAAGATGAGTCTTTTTCCATTCCATTGTTTTCTACAGTTTGAAATTTCTGATTACTTCCTATTACATTTTCATAGGTTTTTCAGCTAAATTCTGCTTTTTTCCAT